ATATTGTATCACAATAGCCTAAAACCATCTGATTCAGATATTAAAATCAGTTATAGGCCAATGGCCCTTTTCAAAAGAAAGGTATTTACCATCTGCTAGAGTGTCATACAAGAAGATAAAAGAGAAGGGATCCCCAGAGCATTGGCATGACAGTGGAAAAAGCCTCGTCTTTGGTCATAGTCCGATGAACATCAGGCATATGTAAGCGAGTCTCTGTTAACCACCTTAAGTGAGCAGTCTCATGACAAAGAAGCAATATGTCAGATATCCTGCCCGTAAACCATAATGGATTGTAAAGTCATCACCACCACTTTGAACTGGGCCCAAAAATATATCAGACTCTAGTGCAGCTGTTTCAACAAGAGAGTTCCATGCTCCTGATAAGCAATTCCATTTAACAGTCTGGCTTCTGGACACTTTTCAGAGGTAGCTCCAGGTATTTAATTCTTATCCTTTACTAATACCAAGGAAGTTCTTCTACACTTGCTTTCCAGTACAGGACTTAGAGTGCACTGCCATGTCTACTCAGAAGAACCACTATGTACAGGGGTGATAAATTAACCCATGAACTGTGTGGATGTGCACTATACATGAGCTGCTTCCAGTCTACTGAAACAACCTATGAAAATGCTATTCATGAACTGTTATGGTGACATCTGAACCTGTGCGCTTGGGCAGCTCCAGGGTTAAATAACTACAAATTAATGGCTTGGTTTTGTTATTTTTAGAACATGGGACATGGTCTTAATTATGCTTGGCTCAGAATGCTAAAACACACACTCTTAGGCAGTTTCCACTTAATTTGATTACCAATTCTATGAATAATTAATTCTATGATATATTAAAAAGAAAACTATATTCCATTTTCAAGGGCTACAATATAAAGTAGAAAACCCCTGTTCAAGTTTGTTCAATGACCCAGAGCAAGTTGTGGGACATTCATGAGCAGTAATAAATGTGTATAGATTGCTACTTCAGATATCATTTAAAGTATGGAAGGTTCCCCTTTCAAAACCTTTAAAAAATATCAGACTGGTTCATGATTTTGCAATGAATCTAAATATCTAGGCCATAGTCTAATACAGTTAGGTATACTAAAACCATTTGAATTCAGTGGTTTTAAGTGCATCTAACTCTGTGCTGGACTGTGCACTTTTAGATTGCATATCCAAGTCTGAAAGGTGGCTTTATGGTTCAGAAGTTACAAGTTTTGCAACCACAAAAGTATGGTTCTAGACACCCTTTCTGTGGTTTCTACAAATAGGCTGAAAATGAGGCCCTCCTTGTTATATGATGGATATGCCTTCACAGGCATTTTCTTAGATTATTATTAGAAACAGAACTTTGGACTTTAATGCACAGTTTAGTTTCCCATTCCATTTTATTTCTTTATCAAGTCAAACCATGACTATGCTAAACTGAATTTTATCAGGCTGTGCCCAATTTGATCTGCATGAAAAGGAAAACAAAATAATAAAATAATTACCATGTATTTCCAATCAATATTTGAACTATATTTAGCTTTATCGTACCTTGTTAGAGTAGCTGTTTATAAACTGTTATCATGCGCTCTCTTTCTCTGCTTTTTTACTGCTTAGTAAGATTGAAATAAAAGGATTCAAAACTGACTTAGAGGAATGTGTCCATAGAGGTTATTTTTACAGGAGTAGAGCTATTTTGTGATGGAGAAATTGGTGCTTTATTAAATATTAGATTTTCATTGAGTGAATTATTTGGCCACCCCTGACTGAATACTTAATTATATTACAAAAACTGAAACTGTGGAATAGGGTCATTTTAAAACAAAAGCAAGAGGAGAACAAGGAAGAAAGAATCCCTTCATGGCATTTCCCTTCTGTTCTTCATAGGAGGCAATGCTGCTGTCAAGATGGGACAATCTGCAGTTCAGGCCTCTGTGCATAAACCAAGAAGACATGTCCATTTCTTCACAACTGTTATTTTAAACAACAGTTCAGAAGAAAAAGCATGCTTCCTTTTTTGAGATTATTTAATTAGAACCAGTTTCATTTGGTTGGCAATAGATTACTGCTGTATAGGGTGGGATTGAAATCACATAGTTGTGATATTAATTAGTAGGAATGTTGCATTGGGTGTGTTACAGTTGATCTTGTTTGTTAGAAGAAGATCAAAGGAGAAGAGACAAATGCTAACAGCTTGCAGATGGCACTAAGAGTAAATACAATTGGCTTCTCCTGTGAGATCTTCCCATCGGTACTAGAGCTTGCAAATTGTAAATCCAAATATTGGCAGGGACAATACTTGGAAATCTTTTCTTTTTTCATTAAATTATCTCTAGAGACCATATCACTGGCGTGTTTCCATGAGAGCCAGCACAGAGATTTCCCACAGTCTGTACTGATCATTTAAGTTTTTGAAACATTTTTCCCCTGGAGGACAGGATTAGATTAGTTTATTCAAATAAACAAAATTATTTTGTAAACTTTGTTCTCTGTATTGTTGGAACACATCATAAAACACTTGGCACATAAAGTGATATATGCACCAGTAGTGGGGAAAGATTGCACCAAGCCTTTAGCAAGGAAATGATGAAGATGCTGTCTAAGCTAGGTGTCCCCAAAGGGAAGACACCTTATAGCTATCCAAAGAGGTACCTCTCTTGGTTACCACTAGGCTCTTGTGACCAACTTCTACTTTATTTCTTAACCTGATTATGATTTTGACTAAGAGGCTGTAATAAGAACATAGGAAGAGCCATGCTGGATCAGACCAGTGACCCATCTAGTCCAGCGTTCTGGATGCACCATGACAAGCAAGATTCCACAAGCAGGATATGAGTGCAATAGCACCCTCATGCTCAAATTCCCCAGCAACTACTGTACATAAACATACTGCCTCTGATACTGAAGTTCACATACAGCCATCAGAACTAGTAGCCATTGATTGTTTTTTCCAGTGTGCATTAGATTACTTTGATCATGCTGTATTGCATTTGCCATTATTGTTCTCCCAATCTTGAGTGATCCTTTTGGAGTTATTCATAATTTCCTCCAGCTTTAACAATCATTAATATTTTGTTGCCATCAGCAAACTTGGCCACTTCACCGCTCACTTCTCTTTCCTGTGACCCCACTGTTTATGTCTCTCCGCTGGGAGAAATTACCATTTATTCCCACTCTTTCTTCCTGTTATTTAAAAAGTTCCTGATTCATCAGATGACCTCCCTTCTTATTCCATGAGTGCTGAATTTTCTCAGGAGTGTTTAGTGAGGGACTTTGTCAAAAGCCATTTGGAAATCCAAATAAAGAATATATACCAGTTTATCCCCATCCACACCTTCAAAGAACTCTGCATGCCACAGATTCAAAAGAATGTTGTGTGTTTTGGAGCTTAAACATCCACCTGTAATTTGTACTTAGTTTTTTTGGCAAGTTATTTTAGTTTGCCTACTATTTTGCCTCTTAGAAAATGAGAGTTTGTGACTATCTGCACCTTCATGGCAGCTCCTTGTGAGAAGCTCTTGACACTCTCAAAATTTCAAATATTCCCATCAGCCAAAAAGAGTGGGGACCCTGACTAAACCATAAGGTGTTTAGCCCTTTTAAAACTTGCTTCTTGATCCAAAAACTTAATTCTCCATTATACAGAAGTGGGCAAGGTGCTTATTTTTTATCCTTCTCCATCCTAAATTGATCCTGGAAGAAGGGAAAAAGGCACTGTAATGCTTACTTCTTTTGGCCTTTACTGACAAGCAATAATCACCCTTGATCACTCATCTTCTAGGTGGCCCGGTATCCAGGATGTTTATACTATATCCCACCTCTCAATTCATGACTGATGGGATCCATTCTACCTACCAATCATTCACTCATGGCTACCCATGGTAAAGAAAAGCTGATTTTACTGTAGTGTTGTCTTCATCCATCTTTACCTGAACCTCCTTGGAAGCATCAGGACCTATGGTGGTTAGCATGCAAATTTACCTGCCTTCAGAGAGTCAGTGTACACTACATAGAAAAAATCTATTTTGTCCATTTGTATTATATGATTTCTCTTTCTGGTCCCTTTCTGGTCCCTTTCCCCTTAATAAAAACTTTCTAAACTGGATATTGAGGTTGGTTGCCTCCCATCAAAACCCAAACTTGTCTTGATGCTTGAATTATGCTAAACCATCTACGGGTTACATGCATCCCTTGACCAACTTTCATATTGCACTCAGGACCCCCTTCTTGCTCTTCAGCTGGTCTGGCTCTTCAACTGACTGACACTGTCAACACTTGAGGAATTCACCAATTAGATGGGCAGTTGAGGGGAGTGTGTGATGAGATTGTTGGCAGGGGGTGATGGGTAAGGCACTTTATGGTACCTTAATGCTCTAGGAGAAGTTTAAACTCCCCAACTGCTAAAATGTCAGGAAAAGTGGGAGTGGGGTGGAGCTCTCTCCCCCCTGTGTGTGTATGTGTGTAAGAGAGAGAATCTTCCCCCTGGCATCTGAAGCTTGTCATTTCTTTGCTTGTCTAATTTCTTTGTCCCAAATTAGAAATCTCCAAAGGTGAGCCTGACATTTTGAAATCATATCCAAGACTTTCTGATACATTCTGTTCAAAGGCTGTGTTTCTGGTATGAGGTAGCAGGACAAAATATGCAGAGCATTCTGGGTCATCAATGTGGTTAGAAAAAATGTGACTGGCTACACATTAGTAGGCATAGATATGCTGTTTCTGGCTGCTTTCTTACTGAAAATCCTTTCTGGGCTTCAAAGTTAATTACATAAGAAGTCATGGTAACTCGTATGTGCAGCCATATTTAACGCAAAATCCAGAGGAGAGTGAAACACATGTGATGGGAGTGAATGGGCTTGCTTCTTGGCAGAGGAAATTTGTACTAGCCTGACATAATCATGTTTACCCTCACATATGTTTCCCTTGTGTGCCAGTGAACATGTTTTTTAGTAAATGAGCTTCAGCTATTTTTTGTTTTTAATGTATCATGAATTCATTATCCTTTTTCCTCTCTTGTAGGCTGTACTGAGTCCTCTCATAGCAATTGCACTGAAAATATCTCAGATTCATGAGAGGACAGGTCGAAAGGGTCCTACTGTCATCACCTGAACCAAGGAAGGATTACTAAACCAGGGCCAAATTTGAGAGGGCAAGAAGAAGGAAGACCTTGCCCAAACACATTAGCTGTTTGTGCCTTATGTTACTCTTAAGGGTTTAAGGGCAATGGGGGAGGGAGGGGGGACAAACTTCAGTGCTGTTCATAATTTGTTTTCATAGATCTACTAAGACAGCAGTGCACTTAGTTCTGTACTATGGCTTCAGTGTCTTCTAATCAAAAATAGCAAGAGAAAGCTTCTTTTATGTCAAGATCCAGGCATTACAAAATATCATCATGACAGAAAAGATTGTTATGTTCTGCCTTCACAAAGAAGTATATTACTTACTGCTCTGGTTGGACTTCATTGCTGTGCACAGGTTCTTGGTGTTTGTATTTTGAAAACCCTTAGTTATAATTTAAAACAGAACTCTTCTTATGGTAGCCAAGGTAAGTTTGAAAATGTGAGGCAATGTTTTCAATAGAAAGGCTCAGTTCCCCATGTTTTCTAAGCCCATCTTTTGACAGTGATGGGCTAAACCATGATTTTAAACTAGAGTATAACAGGGCTCTTGCTTACTCTAGCAATTCTGGAAGGTTCAGCTGCAGAGAGAGGACTTAGACTGCCCAAGCTGACAAGATGTTTTCCCTTGACATGATATGCCACACAAGGCACAGAGTCAAAGCATTGTGGCTGTTGATCTACAGAAATGGCATGAGTGAAAATTCTAATAGGGCCTGATTCACTACATGTTTACATTGGAGTAAATCCCTCTAAGTTCAATAGGATATACTCCCATGTATCGTAGTACTGCAACTTTACAGTGAGATGTTGTGTAACAGATTATTGTTTCCAAAGCATACTGGCATCCGCCAATCCCAGTCTCCCAGTTCCAAGAATAACAAGTGCTGTTTTACGCACCAGCTGAAGCCTGGAATCTGTTACATTCATTCACATTTTATGTAAGTGAAACCTCTGAATGTAAAAAGGTGGAGAAACACAGCTCTTTGGCAATCAGCTTTCATTTTCTGCTCGTCTGTGTATTATTCACAAATGCCCACTCACCAGCACAAATGTTCTGTGCATGTAATTTACATGCTTACACTGAACAAATTCAGTGGCCCTTTCCCATCTAACTCTCTTCTAAACCTTTCTCCATTTAAATTTGACAGCAATTTTAAGGGAGATACCTGTTTAACATTACTAAATAATGCTGGAGGAGTTTTCTTGCTTTTAATATTTAGCTACTGCAGTCGCCAGGGGAAAATCCATGTTTTTCATTACATTTTACTGATTTTACAAAGGAAACTACTGGATTAGCTCACCCCTCCTTTTTTGTTTTTGTTTAAGTAAATGAGTACTCTGTAGGCCAACCTACACATTCTTCAAATCATTCATGCATGATTGAATTAATTAGTTCATTGATAGCACATGCAGCCCCAATTGAGATAGGTGTTTTGGTGCTCCAGGAAGGTAGGATTTAGGTTCCTCCCTTCTATTTTCATTCTGAAATTCCACCCCAATTCCATTTTAAGCCTGAAAAAAAATTGCATTGGAATCAATGTTATGCATGATTTAAATAATACGTAGTTCAGCCCTGAGAACAGTGTATAGGTCACTTTAAGCTGTGGAATTGTTGCAGAGTTGTTTAGAATACAGCAGTAGTTGGGTTCTTTCTTGAATAACTTAAAAGTGGAAAGACACTGGAAAAGGTGAATCCATCAGATGAAACAATACCAAAGTGCATTGCACTTGTCATTTTTTCCATAACTAGTTAAACTTCTTGGAAAACAGGATTGATACCATTATAAGTATTAAAATTATCAGCTATGTTTTCCAAGTAGTTTTCTTTTACTAGAGTGTAATGCAGTGCACTGGAGTGTTGTGTTGTGGGTGTTTTGACTAGAAGAGGTTGAGAGGGAGATTGCCTGAAATAAAACATCACCTTTGTTGCCTGTGGAACTGTAATAAATTGAGTGAAGTTTTAGAAGTACTTCTCTAATTCCTTTAGCTCTCTGAAAGCCTACCAAATGTTTTATTAGAAGGTCATATGATGAGTCATCAGGGAACAGATGGAGGAGAGAAAGGATTGCTCAGTGAATACTTGGGTACACCAAATGGTTCGTGTGCCTGTGAAAGAATAATATGGTTCCAACTCTGGCACACAACACCAAAATGATAAGAACTCCTTGTGCATGTGACTCATTTGAATGTGTTTCTTTGGGAACAGATGTGTGGCTGCTTGTCATTCATTGAGATGGCTTTTGTGCAATATGACCTTTTTGTAGCCTAGTAACGTTCATCACAACGGTCAAATGTTCTTTTCAATGCACTCTTGAGTGCTCTTGTGCTTTAAGAAACTGATTTGGTTTCCTTTGATATTTGTCAGAACTTGCTATGAGATATAATAAAGTGCAATGCCTTACTTCTGCCTTGCATGAAATTGCTGATGATATGACAAGGCTTGTCCTCATATAACAGACTTCTTTTTAGCTGTGTCTAAGTAAATGAGGCACTGAGTGTTTCCTCACTTCTAGAATCACAGTGTTTTATTGCAGTATTATTAAACATCTTTTTTGTAAATCAAAATAAGTGTAATGGTGCCTTTTTATGTAGAAGTACAACTTTTACAGCCCCTGGGCTTAAAATCCAACAAAAAGTGGCTAATTTTCTGTAATGTCATACAATGTCTCTCAATGAGCACAATCACATATCATGCTAAACCACCGGGCAAAGCACAGGGTAGTTGTTCACTGAACAGCGTGTGGTGTGCCTAACAGATGATTGGGCTGTTTTTTTCCTTCTTCACTAAGTCCCCCAGCTACCTCTGGCAAATAAGTGTCCTTCATGGCAGAATCTGCCTTCTATCCCCCTCCCTGCTCCAACCACTACCCTTTTCATTCACTGCCATTTTAACTTTTGTATTTTTCAGACCCTCAAAAAAGCACAGCTGAGATTGTTTTTTAATGCATTGACTCATGAAAATTGTACAATTGTGTTTGCCACAGTAGAGTTCTGCCTTGATGTGCCAGCCCAGTCACACAATAAGTGTGTGACCTACACACACAATAAGTGAGTAAGAGTTTAAAAAAAATATTTTGCACCTCATGCTCACAGAGAGCCCCATTCAAACTTTTCACATCATTTATATAGCTTCCCACACAAAGAATGTCAGAAGCTCTGCTTTGGTTGGCTATAATTTCCAGCAGTACAGGCCTTCTTAATACACCTGCTCACAACTATTTCTACCAGTTAAAATTTGCTGAAGCTCCTACCTTTATCAGTTTAAACTATGCTTGTAACTTGGAGTTTCTGATTACCTCGCCCTCCCTCATCACTTTGTACATGTTCTGAACATCTGAAGGTAATGGCTGCCTAAGCCCATCCACAAATCAACCTGTGGCTCCTTCAATTGTGTAACTTTTTTTAATGTACTGTTGGTCTTTTTTCAAGTGTGCTCTTAAAGCTATCTAGTAAGTGTAGTCTTGTCTCATCAGTTTCCTTATCTGCTTCTTTCTCAGCAGCAAAGTGAAGCAGGTAACAAACTGACAGCGCAAAACTGCATATAGATTAATTTGTGCACATTTGCAAGGCCCCACAAGGGGATGGAGGGCAGGGCCTCCCACTTAGCAGTGTGATCCACTGATTTCAAGTGTTGAGCTGATACTTCTCATTAGCTAACTGGGTAACTTGGCGACAGTTCCAGACTCTCAACCCACCCTACCTCACAGGGTTGTTGCTGTGGAGATAAGATTAAGAGCAGCAGGAGGACAGTGGTGTAAGCCACTTTGAGTTCATAGAAAAAAAGTGGGATATTCATGTAATAAATAAATCTTTTCAAACTCTCCAGCTCCTCCAGGAAGGAGAGATGTTAATTCCTTCCCCCAACCCCTCAAACACTTTTCCGACTCATTTCTAGGACACTTACTGCTGCAGTTACTGTGGTTTCCTGACAGCTATAAAATGTAGAAACATACATATAACATGAATGGGAAATAGATTAAGTGGAAATTTGTGTGCCTGCTGCAATGAAGCAGTTAATGCAAGTGTGCAAGTTTCTCTTCTGTTAAATTTTCAGAAATTTGGGGGTCTTAACTATTGGAGAACTGGAATAACTGCTCCAAACTGGAGCAACAAAATGGAGATTAATATTGCTCATTTCAGCTTGGAACTTGGGGAAGCACTGAAAAGGGAGGAAGTGTAAATACTGTGGGTTGTGTCTTGCAAATCTAGTGGCTTTGCAAGATGGACAGTGCAGTCATGCACTAAATTGCTGGCTGAGTAATACATGAGAGACATTAGAAATGGAATATAACTTTTGTTGAATTAAATTGCCCCAGAATGGTTAATGCTGTGGACATCTGCATATCACTTTGTTTATACGTACTGGAACCCATGATAGTACGACCTTGTTCCTTTAGCAGTTACAACCCAGGTTTATGCATAAAGACACCAAACCAAGAATGCGGTAACTTACCAAGTGGTATGCCCTTAGGAAAAACTCTTCTCTGAATCACTAAGGAATAGTTCCAAGTATATTAATCCTGTCAATGGGAACAGCTCATGGTTCTTTTTTACATAAAAATGCTCAGTACAATGAATCAGCCAAGCTGATCCAGGACACTTTAAATCATAGCTAGTTTCTTAGGAAGCTGTATTCTTCAGGATCAACATATTAACTGAATGGACGTTTCATTCACACAGCTTCCAATAAGAATGACTTTAGGAGTGCTGCTTGCCACAGTCAAGAGGTTGTTAGGATCTGGCCATGGAAGTATAATGTACTGCAAGAATCCTCACCCATGAGGAAATAATTTGTCAGTATGTTCATACCTACCATGTAGTACAGCCATAAAGATAGATAAAAACTTTTTTCTACAGCATAAAAACAGAATATGATCTGGAAAATATCCAAAATTTTAAAAAATCCAAAGGGTACGGCCTATGAAACTATACTTCTATAAGTCTACTGTGGAATTTTTTCTTGTGAAGTAACTTACTAAAATATTTCAGAAGTTCTGGTAAAGGTACAATACAGTGCAGGTTTAGAAAGAAAGGGCCCTATAATTTGCAGCATGCCTCAGTCAGCTTAGTTGTAGGCCTTTCTCTGTCTAGACTTTTATAGGACTATGCCCTAAGAGGTTTACTGCATTCTACTGTGGATTATGTTTGTTGACTAAAATGGAAGCGCACATTCTTCATTTTCATCAAGCAAATGCCACTTTATTTTTTTCAGTGCAAAACTTTATTGTAAGAAAGTGCAATGCAATATTAAACAATATGTAAACTATAGTTAGCCCCTGACCACAGAACAAACATAGTTGTAAAGTAACAAATTCCAACTGTTCATTTGTTGATTTCTCAAAGTTGGCCAGTCCTATCAGAAAGAAAAGGAAGTTGATGCCAGAGCTCCACAGGAGTTACAAAAAATAATGAGGGTATTACATATGGGCATAGAGTGTAATGATGCTAATGACAATGGAAATGTCCATAGCTTTCATACCTCAGTTGGCTATTTTTATCAAGATAAATGTCAGTTAACTATACTTGGGGATTTCCCACCCCCCATCTCTGGATCTGAAAGGTAGTTGTGGTAATTAATAAGAGTACATAATGGAAAATTGCTTGTTGTAATATGCAAAAGTAGAAGTCTTGAACAAAGAACATGTTCTTAACAGCATATTTCCCCACCATGTTTGTGATTGCAGAGTCCTCTGGAATCATTCCCTATGTCCCATATGTGTTTGTGTGTGTGTGTGTATTGCACAAAGGTACCCCAGTAAGAAAGAACAGTCTAAAGCTCTGAGAAACAGTTTAAATTCACATTCTTCAGTTTAACTTACATATACATCAGTGGAACTATCTGAAATTAAATTGAGGTCTTTGCTTGGGCTATGGAACTGGACTGTCCAGTACAATCATAACTTAATCCTGTTCTCTCACCACAGCTTGCTCTCTGTTACAAGATCTTTGTACAGAAGAATGTCTGAAAAATAACAGAGTTTAACTTTGAAGAGTTTAACTTTGAAAAAAGGCCTCTTATCATCCTTGCAAATGCCAAGGATAGAATAAAATGTTTTCCCCATAGCAATAGCATAGCTGACTTTGCTTAGTATGTATGTATGCCATCCTCATTCATCATTGGAACATAATGCTTGCTTTGGGTTTCTTCTTTCACTCTTTCAGACATATCCCTGCCTGGGCACTTCGTCATGGCACTACTGTTCCTTGGGGTTTGTGGCCATTTTTTAACATGTAAATGTAAACACATCTAGCGGTTGCCACAACCAGCAATAACTGGTTGGAAGTCAGCATTGTCATCCATGACCCATGCAACACCAAGTTTTATTCCTGGCTGGAATGATGCTATTTCTGAAATAACCTTTCTAACGGTTCATGGCCAGGCATGGAGTACTACTGCAAGGCTATCTTTGGACCCAGTGCTCGCTGATAGAATAGCGACCTCCAGTTCCCTCAACAGCACTCTGCCACAATGGCTGAACCACTGCCTTGCCTCTGTCCCAGAATAGCAGACATGGCTTATCTCTGATCCAAGTCTTTTGGCAGGCCATTTCTTCAGCAGTTGATCTCTGGCACAGATGCAGTAGAAGTCTCTTCAGGTGTTGAGACTGTAGTTTGCTGCTGCACAGATACTTCATATGAAGGTGGTGGTTGTTCCTGAGGATTAATTTCCTCAATGAATTCAAGGCTACTCTCTGTGTACAGAGGTGGAGGTATGTTGTAAGTGTCCTCTCGTTCCAGTGGGAAGACTGGCAGTGGGAATGTCTGCTTTACAGGATCAGTGCTGTCTTCATAAGATGGAGGGTAAAAGTCAGGCCTGCAAAAATCACAGTCAAGACAAAAACCAAAACCACAGTTTAAAAGAATTCAGTGTTAAAACTACAGCTGTCTATAGTGTGTTGTGGAAGAGTCTGCACCAAGAATTATGTTCAAATCCAACATCTGTTTACTTCATTGTCCTTTTTCCTCAGTTTTCAGAAGTAGACCCACACAAACATTTTTATTACATCAAGAACCAAAAGTGCCTACATATAAGTGAAGCTATGAGGAGGGGACTGAGAGCAGGGGTTGACCATTTGGGCAACAGTTTGACATCATAGGCCTTCTCTCTGACTATAAATTTTTAGGAGAACTGTGGTACTAGCACAATGTGCTGAGCCTCAAGCAACAAAGAGTGAACCGTATTTTTATATAATTGCTGGATTCCTTTCTTCTTTTGGAGATCCTGTATTTCAAAAGCAAATGTCTGCTTCATATAAGCTTATTTATACCCTGAAATGTATTTTGCAGGGCAGGCTGCAAGCTCATACAAAGTGTTAAATTTTCCTGGTTATCTTACCAGGGTATGTACTGTGTCATATTTATAGAGCTGCTGCTTTGCCGATTGTGAATGTTTATGGTGCCGTTACCACAACAGAACAGGAAGTGACATTTGTATCCATGGCCCATTAACACACTTTGCCAGGCTGAAGGCCAAGGCCTGCTGGACTTAAGGAAGGCTCACTGTGAGACCTAGGAATGGCAGACACATTTGTACAGAAATCTCCAGCACAGGCTGTGCAGATAAGAGCAAACAGCTTTGGCCATCATTGACAGCTAATGAAATGGTGAGTGCAAAATAAGTGTAGCATGTTCATAACCTATGTGGAAAATACTGCAGAACCACCATATGTGTTTATGGGTTTGAATCATGCCTTCACATTTAACAGATCTAATTTTCAGGATGTACAGTCAGGAAACTTTGTGAACTAAGCTATTTTCCTCAATAGTTACAGACCAACTATACATCTTCAAACAATATTTTGGACTCCATGTTTTTCATCAGGAAAGTGTTTTCACTCACACTAAAAATATACTGTATGTACAGACATGGAGCTAAAATAATAAAACAAAATGGTTGTTCAGTTATTTATTTATGTGCCAGCTTTCTAACAAGGAGCTTCTGGTGAGTTTGTGAGAGAATGAGGTAGCTCTAAGGCATTAATTTTCAGGAATGTTAGACAGAAGGACAGCTGCACAGTAGGATCTGTTCATGGATCCAGGTTGGACTAGCTGCACTTAGATTCCATTAAAATAAAAATAAAAGATCTTGTGTTATTTTTATCACTATTTGTATTAGTTTCCATGAGGCCTAAATGCAACTAACTTAATTGGGATCTAACATTTTTGTATTTATTTTATTATATTTATATCCTGCCTTTTCCTCCAAGGAACCCAAGGTGATTACATATTCCTCCAGCTCCTCTCCATTTTATCCCCACAACCTTATGGAATTGCTTAACCTGAGAGTCTGTGAATAGTCCCATGAGCAGGCACTAGAACCTCAGTCTAGTCTGGATTCTACCACTGTTACCACTATCCCACATTGGCTCTCAGTGAAGATTGGATCCAACAGAGGCGCCATCTAGAGCAGGGGTCTCAAATTCAACTTACCCGGGGGCCGCTGGAAGTAGAGTCTGGGTGAGGCTGGGATGCATCAAGTATTCCGCCACTTGGTGGTGGTGGGCCGCTCATCCCGCGTTGCTCCCAGAGGCCGGCCCGGGCGCCGTCGGCGCTTTGAAGGCCGCAGGGCCCCTCCCCCGTGCCCCACCCGTCCCGGCAATTGGCCCGCGGGCCGCAAGTTTGAGACCCCTGATCTAGAGGAAGTAGGGTTGAGGTAATTTGCACATGTTCCTGCTATAACTCGCAACACCAGTTCAGACACCGTTACAGGGGATCTCCTAATTTAGGGTAACAAAGGGTTGAAGAGAAAATGAATTGGCAAAAATAACTTCTCCCCCTTTCCTCCAGCATGAGTAGTTTGGATTCAACCCATTAAATTTCAAAACAGTTTTTTAGAACAGTGGCCTAAAAATGTTTTTTTTTCCATTTGAAGTAGGAGACCATCATTTCCATTATATATTATATGGGTATTACATATCTCAGCAGGAAACACACTGAGCAAATGTTTTTAAAAAATTAAGGGCACATTCCTATTGCTCCCACAGCAGATGCACACAGTACTGTGGCAAGAGTGAGGTACAGCATAATGATGTTTACTGCTGAAAAGAGAGGAAAACATATGCAGTCTGGAAAGGGTTGCAAAATGTTAAAAGACCAATTGATTAATCTGATACACTTGATGGCACATACCTGTCTATGGTACAGATATTCTGTTGAAGTCTGGGATTTCCATGAATAATGCTGAAGAATAAGCCCTTGTATCTGCTGGCTTCATGATAAATGCTCCAGAAGATCCCAGAGATGAGAAGTAAGAACCCCAAGGGTAATAGAAAATATGCAATAGGCAAGCTATTGCACTTGCAAGCAGAGGCATTTGTAGAGATGCAAAAGGCTCCTAGACAAATAACAGCAAAGCCAATCATAAGCACAAACAAACGGAGAAATGAGAAGAGGTTCCTTGACATCTTTCCAGTTAGGCCCAGCCTCAGCTTTGAGTATCTCTTCAGTGCTCCTGTCTGAGTCCATAGTTTTATATGTTCAGGACCAACTGGCCTTTGGACACGTGTTATGATACTCATTAACCATTTGAAGGAACCATAAGAACTCAAGAGATTAATTTATAATCAAAACACTGTTCAGCAAGAAACAACAGATGCCTCCTGTATTGTTTGGCCGCCAGCATAAACTCCACGAACTTTTGCTGCCTATGGACACTGTTGTAGCTGCTTGCATTTTAACTCTGCAGCCAAAAACAAACTGCCCGTGCTTTATAAAGCTTGATCCTAAGGCTGTTGACATATTTTGGTTGAGCTGAGATATCCTTCCTGAAAGGTGGTTATATAATGTAGACTTCATTACATACACCATCTGGAAAGCATACAATTCCATCTGGTTTATGAGGGAAGTACAAAGGAATCAAGGCTGCTGAGTGAAAAGAACAGATACCACCCAACATACCATAAAAGCTGTTATAAATCCTAGTTCTGTGTCATTTTAGTTCTGTCTGTGTTGACCTCAGTGTTGTCATTTCTCTATCTACTTAGAAATGACGCAGAGTCCCTCCCTATTAAATCGCCGGGGAATGTACTAGAATGCCCAACAAAAACAGCAACCTCCATGAGGGAGTTTGTGATGTCAGCAGAGAAAAATCCTGCTAGAATCTGTAGAATCAGAGATTAACTGCAGAGTCCTCTTGCAATGTTAGAACAAAATATGCATGACAAAAGGTGACTGCTTCATTTGTTAAATAGCTGCAGCTGACAAAGATAAAGTGAAAGTGTTTTATCTTTTTAAAGCTTTATCATTGGCTCATTAAACATTTCAGCCATTTTATTATGGATCCTATTAAGCAATTACACACTACATGGAATTTTCAAACCTGTGTTTGCCTTGTGGTGCCTTTACAAGAGGTGGACAGCAAATTGCAAGGGACAACTGTTAGGCAGGAGATACTTACGCATTTCCCTGTCTGCTGATTCTCCCTCCAAACACCCACCCCCATCGGCTCTGAGGGTGGAAATTAGGCCTTGGTAAGGGCCAGGTTCTAAAAGGTGTGGAGTGTGGGTCTGAGTAACCAGAAGGCATAGGTACATTGTCCAAAGCAAATGGGTATCAAGAGTTCAGACACAAATTGAGGGTCAAAGGAATTGCAAGTGGGGAATTAAAGCATGTCAATTTCCAAGGCTGCAATGCCAAGGTGGCAAAGCCTGAGAGATGGGAGTCCCAGTTCAACTCTTCTGTCTGGGCTCCTTGACAGTAAGCTCAGCTGCAGAGAAAAGGCTTAGGGAAAGACAGTACTAACAAGGGAAGGACTTCAAGTCTTCTTCCCATCTGTTGGTTAGGAAAGATCATCAGAAAGTGTGGGTGGATGAGTGGGTGGGAGGGAATGGATCCCCAAAAGGAGGAAAATGAGAATAGCATAGCAATTTCCACAGCTTTGTCATGTGCTAATTTATATGTAAACTTAGAAATAGTAATAATAATTTAAACAGAATATAACACCTCTCACCTATGGAGGAACATGACCACATGACCCACGTGCTTGCCTGTCCAGCCTGCTGTCCAGCTGCTAACTGTTGAGTGGTAAGAGTTCTTACAGTTCATTACTTTTAAACTGGCATTGGAGGCTTCGGCGAATGGGGCGGCATAAAAATGTTTTAATAATAAATTAATAAATAAGACAGCCCTTCTCATAGAGGTTGTCTTCAATCAGAAGCCAATTCATTGGAAGCCTTCTGTAAAAGAGGACACCTATTACCTGAAAACCCAATGCAAGACCGCTAACTGGAAAAATAGTCCTTGCCAAATTATGCCCCAAACTGGGAAGTGTGAAATGGCTTTGGTGCAAATGATCTCCCCCACCAAAAAAGGAAAAGAAAAGAAAGGAAAGGAAAGGAAAAAGAGAAAAAGAAAAAGAAAAAAATCAGCTTGGCTTTTATGTTACATTTATGTAGCAATGATATTCCTGTTAGGTATTGGCTAGAGTAACATGATGCTTTTGGTCTCTTCAAAATATTTTTTGCCATTCAGGTCCACCAAACCTAATCAGTCCTCTAGCATTATAGAGAAATAATAATGAGACCAGAGAATTAAACTGAATATATATCAGTATCTGAAACCAGCTTTCAAATGAACCTTTCATCTCAAATGAACCTTTCTTAAAGATGCTTTGAAGTAACCACAATTGGATCCCAAGGGATCCTCTGACTCATTCCTCTGATTTAGCATAAAAATGGCAATGATCAGCCCAGATCTATATCATGGAGTACACCACATCAACCATTGATCAAAGTCATGGATGCCACAAACATGTGATCAGTGGTGATTGCATAGGTGAACATCCCTGTTCGGCTTCTTGTAACAGTAGCAAAGCAAATGAAATCTAATGTAGGCATCTTTGCCATCTTGATTATGTATAAACCCTTCTTTTCTGAGTGGGAGAGGTCTCTAAAGGCCATAAGAATTACCTTAGGACTTTTGGAAGCAGCAGCAGCGGGCATGCAAAGTCACCAGAGGAGTATCTTTCTTGAGGATGGATAGGACTACAAGACTCAGAAATACCATGGGAAAATTGGAAACCCATTTGTCATTTTCCCCAAGAGAGAATTCGCTCTGGCAGAAATATATTTGTCATTTTTAAATTTAAAATATTCATATCCCACGCAAGAGCCAAACAGAGCTCCACTGGGATCCCAAGCTGACTCTTAGGGGTTCCCTGAATGGTCATGGCCCCTTTCCCTAGACTGTATCCCATTTTCCCCAGCCACCCCAGTCATTCAGTGTTTTCTCAGTTGTTGTGCAGCTTCACCCCTCCCTCATTCTAAAAGGTAGAGATTTCTCTCCTAAGGCTTAATTAATGGAGCTTTACACAAAAAACTTGGCATTTTTTAAATGATTGGCCTTTGGTTCCACCGCATTTTGCCTTCAGACCCACCAGTGACTGCATTATAGAGAGAACATTTGCAATGTCTAAAGCAACCACAACAATACACCATAAAAATAAAAGCATATCGGAGATGGGAAAAAACAGTCCTAAAGACAAATAGTTCTAAAAACAACATCATGATTAAGTAGGTTCATAGAAGAAGAAACAGCACCTTAGGTCTGCTGGACCCAAGCTGACAGGACAGTGTGTCAGTTTCCTGATGGAGTTACAAGGAATTGTAGTCACAATCCAGAAAATAATGTTCTGCCAGTGTCTAGCTCTCTCTACTGCCTTTACCAGCCCCAGAGGTGATACAGGCAGTGGCAGGCCATAGGACTACTCTGAGTGTTCAGTTAGATCAACCGAAGAGCTTGGCGCTCCTTTGGGGCTTGAATAAGAGTTGTGCATGGAAAACCCACCAATCTTCTCCCTTCTAGCCACAGCAGTAGTTCTTTGCACCATTGCAGGGAATTGGAAAGGAATGTTTTAAGCAAACTAACATGCAAAGTGCACTGCCTACATTACGCTCTTCTACACACTGTGAGTATCTTTTCCCTTTTTTCACCAATGAATATTTTACATGAATCTTTAAAAGGGGTGGGAGAGGGGGGAGAGATTACCTTGGGATTTGAACTGGGAAGCTGGTTTATCAGAAGTTCTTGATAAGAGCTTATCTTGATAAGAATGAACTCAGTGAGCTTCTTGAGTCATCCATACCTGTAACTTGTAAATAGCCATTTAAAAGTCCTAGATTAGTTTGAAACATCTACAATTAAATTTATTTAATACAGTATTTTGTAGTAAAATGTGTTTAATGAGGGCTTTCATTTTTTCAGACATTTATATATGTATTTTTGTTTTACTGTGATACAATGCAGACAATATAGTAGAGTCTGTTGCTGGCCTGGGGCCCAGGAGCTCCCAAATTTGAGGTGGGTAGTGACATGGGGAGGGACTTGCTTGTTGTCGGCCTCATGGAGATAGCCACAAAAACCAAGTTCCTGCAGATCTCGCCATCCCCCTAAACCAGTGGTCCTCAAACTTTTTCAATAGGGGGCCAGTTGATAGGCTGCGGTGACCATCGCAGGCCGGTGAGGTGGGGGTGCCTGGGGGCATGGGCTGGTGAGGTGGCATTGAGTGTGTGCAGTGGTGGCTCACTCGCGTGGAGATCTCCCAGCAAGTCCCAAACCACCTCCGAGCGAGCAAGACACCACCTTCCCACCTGCGCTGCGAGGCAGCAGTGAGCGCACGCATACAGGAGGCAGGTGGCGGCTTGCTCACTCGGAGACCATCTCCAATTGAGCAAGCCATCGCCTCCTTGCCCGCGCAGCAAGCACGCGAGTGGGTGGCAGCGGTGTGGGCCAGATGGATGGCCATGGTGGGCCGGATCCATCCTGTGGGCCATAGTTTGAGGACCCATGCCCTAAACCCAGGAGCCTTGGTATCCCATATTGATGGGGCCAGCAGCCACTCTAAACGGAGACACTGGTGAGGAATGAGGGCAAGCCTTTTCTGGACTTCTCTAGTGTTGCATGTACTTCACCTAGTGCTCCTGAAATGTCATAGATGCCTTGTACAAATGTACAAGCCTTTCCAAAGTGAAGCAAGGAGATTATCTTAGCCAGTAGTATAAAGGGTGGGATGGTGTCCCTCAGGGCTCATTATAGGTTTTCCTATATGTGTTCCAAGAAACATTTCCAGTACCCAGATAACTGCTTACATATGTTTGTTATTTTGTTTCCCCCCTCCAGTCTTTAGATTCTGAGTTCAGTACCCACGTAGGCATTGGACCACTTGAGCCCTTATCTAACAGCGGTACCTCAGCCTCCCCATGCTTCTGGCACTATTTGGGAAAGGGCTGCTCTCTCTATCTTGAACTACAGGCCAGACTGACCTTTGTTGATGATCCCAGATGAGCCTCTGAGGCCCTGTGTTTTCCTGTTCCTTATGTCCACCCCACCCCCCATATTGCATCTCTGCTAACTCTTCTCTTCAGGGTTTGCCCATCCTCAGAAATCCATCTACCCATCACCTCTGTCTTGAGCAGGAACAGTCTTCCTCAGTTAACTCTTGCCCCATTCCTCCATAGTTTCCCCAGGGATCCTCCAAAGGTGACCAGATGGGAAGCAAAGGCTCCGTGGCCCTCCAAATATTGTTGGTCCAGAACTCCCATCATTGGCTGTGTTGGCTTTGGCTGATGGGAGTTGAAATCAAACATCTGCAGTTGATGCATGACTAAGCTATAGAGGACTCCTGTACTTTGAATAGGTGTGTGGAAGCAGATGCAGCATGTGATGGAACAGGATGGTAGCTCAAGATGGAAAGGCAAATGGTCAAGGATCATCTAATTGAGTTGAATGAGTTCAGATCTCCAGGGCTCAATGAACTCCACCCTATAGTCATAAAGAAGCTGGTGGAAGAACTCTCAGAATCACTGTCTATTACCTTTGAGAAATTATGGAGGATGGGGAAGTGCCAGATGACTGGAGAAGGGCTAATATTGTTTCTATCTTCAAGAAAGGAAAAGAAGAACCTGGGAAGTACAGACCAGTCAGTCTGACATCAATCCCTGGGAAAATTCTGGAGCAGATTATAAAGCAGTCAGTCCACAAACACCTTGAAAACAATGCAGTGATTACTAGAAGCCAACATGGATTTTTCAAGAACAAATCATGCCAGATGAATCTGATTTCATTTTTTGCTTGGGTAACCTCTCTGATGGATTGTGGGAATGCTGTAGACATAGTGCATCTTGACTTCAGCAAAGTTTTTGACAAAGTGCCCTATGATATCCTGATTAGCAAACTAGCAAAAAGTGGGCTAGACAGAACAATGATCAGGTAGATCCACAGTTGGCTACAGGATCGGACACAAAGAGTGCTCCCCAATGGCACATTCTGAAACTGCGGAGAGGCAACACGTAGGATACTGCAGCATTCAGTCTTGGGCTCAGTGCTCTTCACCATTTTCATTAATGATTTGAATGAGGAAGTTCGGGGAATGATAAATTAGATTTGCAGGTGACACAAAACTGGGTGGAATAGCTAATACACTGGAAGAGAGAAAGAAGATTCAAGGTAATCTTGATAGGTTGGAGTGCTGGGTTGGAAACAACAGAATGAGATTCAATAGGGACAAATGCCAAGTTCTTCACCTAATAAAATGAAAACAAATGCATGATTACAAAATAGGGAATACTTGGCGCAACAATACTGCAAGTTAGAAGGCTCTTGGAATTTTTGTAGATCACAAGCTGAATATGAGTCAATAGTGTGATGTGTCTGCAAAAAGGGCAAATGTTCTTGTAGGCTGCATTAATAGAAGGATTACTTCCAAAGCCCATGAAGTACTAGTTCCTATTTACTCAGCACTGGTTAGGCCTCATCAGGAGTACTGTGTCCAGTTCTGGCCACCATAGTTTAAGAAAGATGCAGACAAGCTGGAAAGGGTTGAGAGAAGGTCAAAAAGAATGATGCAGGGACTGCAAACAAAACCCTAGATTGAACGAACTGGGCATGTTTAGCCTAAAGAAGACTGATGGGAGATATGGTAGCACTCTACTAGTGCTTGAAAAGCTGTCACAAAGAGGAAGGACAGGATCTCTTCTCAATCATCCCGGAAAGCAGGACATGGAATAACAGGTTCAAGTTACAGGAAGCCAGATGCTGGCTAGATATCAGGAAAAATTTCCTGACTGTTAGAGCACTATGACAATGGAACCAATTACCTAGGCAGATTGTGGTTCCTCCCTCACTAAAGGCATTTAAGATGCAACTAGACAGACATCTGAAAGGGATGGTTTAACTTGTTATCCTACATTGAGCAGTTGGCCAAGCACCTTGGAGCTTTCACTGAGAATATGTCCTAGAATCCACATATAACGAGCTCTTGCTTGGGAGAAACTGATATAAGAAACAGATTGTTATCAACTGCTCAGCCCCTCCATTAACTCAAGTAGCCACCAAAACAGTGGACAAAAGATGATATAGAAATGCATAAAATTGGCTTGTGCCCATTTATAGGTACAGATAAATGTAGAAATATGTATTAAAATATAAGTAGAAATACAGTCCATCCCACCATAGTATGGAGGCAATGACCAGGAAACCTGTGTGCCTTGCTCTGTCTGTATCCAGATGTTACTAATGAGCAGCTTCCAGGCACAGCTATTCTTTATGATGGCTCTTTTCCTGAGATGGACTGGAAAGTCAAATAGAGGACTTTTTCAAAATAAAGGATACCTCTGGCAGTGGTTTAAATGGAAAACTGTCCTCTACAAAGGAAGACATATGGCCACCTTATTCCTTGGGAAGCTTATGAGGAAGCAATCATCACCACCACTTGATCATATCAAAGATACAGAAGAATTTTCAGTTCACTTTCTCCTGACTGCCAGTAGTGAATTAATCCAGGGGCACATGGTATTTCCTCATGAAAAACTTCTCAGTTCCCATAAATAAGTGTGAAAATACATGCAGTGAAGAAAACTCCAAACCCAGTGGGACCCGATGGCCCCTTCCAACTCTACTATTCTATGATTCTCTGAAAAGATGCACCTGTGGGAAGGAAAGGGTGGAAGAATCCTCTTCTAATCCCAGTGCCAGTGAGGATGTGTCAGGTCAAGACAGATTGATCCACTCACCTTCCCAATTCACTTTTGTCTTTAAAGAAAAAATTGACAAACAGAAAAGCATCATTTTCAGAACAGACTTTGCTGCTCTATTTCAATATTGGGGACTGCTGCCTTTATTCTGCTGAGTATCGAACCACCATAATCCATAGCACCATGAACAAGAGTCTGTTTATAATTTATCGAAGCATTTATCATAGGAAGCAGAACTGAAGTAACTTCTCCTTCTGAGAGTGGTATTAGGCAGCCAATGTAGGAACTCAGTTTCCTAATAAGCTATCCTGATGGCTGTTGGATTGTTACCAGGGATTGTATTTTTCTCCCAGCAGACTGTAAAAATTCCTGAAAAATGACAGTGCTTATGGCACTGATAAGCTAAACAAAGTACACTGAAGGTACAGTTCCCCCGTGTCATTCAGGCAGTGAACTTTTACAAGAACATATAACTTGGGGCAACCACTTTGTATTAGATATAGGGCAGAAATTATCAGTACAAACCTTGGCCACTAGATGCCCAAAAAGTCATGCAGCAAGTTCTGCAAAAAAACCAGAAAGAGAGGGAGAGAGGCAGTTGTGGCACCCCTCTTGTGAAATTCCTTCTTTAG